CTTATAACCTGCCCCCATCAACCCCCTCGCCGGCCCCGCACCCCACCCACCCGCCCCCAGCTGTTTGCCGCGCAGGCCGGCGGGGCGCAGGACGAGGCGGCGATCCGCAAGAGCGTCGCCGCCATGCGCAACATGAGCGACTCCCAGGTCGAGATGATGGCCAAGGCGGCCTCTGTCCTGTCGAAGGGCGCCGCGCGGGCGCGCGCCGCGCGCGACTGGCTCGCCAGCCGGCAGGCGCTGGTCGTGGCGCTGGCGGTGCTGCTGCTGGCCGTGCTGCTGCGCTGGCTGGGGATCTTGTAACCAGGGACGGCCCGGGAGAGGGGCGCGGCATGTGGGTGAAGCAGCGCGTCTTTCCGTGGCTGGCTGCCTGGCGGGGGGCGCGGCTGCCCAGCGGATGGAGTGCATGCAGCAGGGGGATGGGGGGGCTCCAGGCTCGTCCTGGCATGGCCACGCTGCTATGAGACCCAGCAGCATGCAGCACCTTATGTCAGCTGGCAAGCACTTTTGCGCGGCGCCAAATACGCCCGAGACAAGATGCCTGCGAGACGGGTTGGCTCAATGAATGCGGGCAGCGGGCCCCTTGTCTGGGTTCAGGACGGTGTCCGCTGAAGTTTGACTGTGTCCGCTGAGGGTTGACTGTGTCTGCTGAAGTTTGACTGTGTTCGGCAAAGGTTGGCTTGCTGATTGGCTCTGTTCGCATTTGCATGGGTGGTTGAGTTGTCTTCGAAAGCGAGACAACGCGGCCAGCCCCGCGCGTTTCTAACCTGTTACGACGGCAATCCACTTGCGCTTCATGCATGCTCATGCATGCGTGCCTGCACATGCGCATACGCGTGCGGCATCAGTACACACGCGCTTTAACATGGTCCATGATTGAGGCTCAAAGTGTTACCTCTGGTGGTCCCAGTGATTGACACGTCTGCAACCCGAAGTGCTTGTTAGGTCCGCAGATTCACCGTGATCAGAACAAAACTCACGTTTGTTTTGCCCAAGGATCTTACAGTCATGGTTTGCACAGTCGCTCCCACACGCCACCATCGCGGGCACATGCGCAACAAACGCGCCCTCCACCGCCCCTCCAAAACCTGCCGTCAAATACTTAACGCCCTTCCCCCTGTTGACAGCGCCATCTCCCCTCCCCCCGTTGTGTCCCTCTGCTGTGTCCCCCTGTCGTGTCCCCATGCTGTGTCCCCCTGTTGTACCGCCACCACTGCCACAGCCACCGCCACTGCCGCAGCCGCCGTCCCTGCCGCCGCCGCCACTGCCGCAGGCGCCGCCAACGCCACAGCCGCCGCCGACGCAACAGCAGAGGGTGGCTTCAGCTGGTCATTGAGTCCAGTCATCAGTTCCTGGGAGTGCCTTTGGTGTGCGTTCGCACGGGCAACGCAACGGGCATGGATCAGCTGGAGCACAGACAACCAAAAAACCTACATAACCAAACGCACATCCTTGCTTTCAACGTACGGCCCCGCGCGCACGACCCCGACCGTCCCTGCCGCCAGCCACGTCCCCAGCGCCCCCTCGGCCCCCCCAAGCGCCGCGCGCCCCACGCACCCAGCGCGGCGCCGTCGCCGCCGCCGGCCTCCCCGCGCCGCCTGATCGCCGCCAGATCGCGCTCCTTGCGCACGTAGATCTCGGCGAGTTCCCGCTGCTCCGCAATTCGAATCGCCGACAGCTCCTTTTCGAATTCGAGCCTGATCTCAAGCAGCCGGATCTCTTCGTGGACGGGGCGCCCCGCAGTGCCAGGGGCCGCGGGCGCGGGCGCGGCGGCCGGCGGCTGGGCGGTCCGGGTGCGGGGGAGGGGTCGGGTGGGGCGGGGCGAGTCTGAGGGGGCCGCACCCCCCTGAGTCCGGCGCGGCGTGTGCTGTGTGTCGAGCGCGTGTGAGGAAATCGCCCCGGTTTGTGTTGTTTTTGTTCATCGGTCGTAGGAGTGGGGAGAGCCGGCACGCAGGACCGAGGTGCAGGAGCACAGGCAAGAAACGGTGCCGCGCCCAGCCAGGGGCCTTTGCACAAGGGGAAGGGGCCAAGTCGCGCCGCGCCCAGGGGTCACCTGGGGAAGCAGGGGACCCTCGCCCGCCTCGTCAGCGCTCGCCGCGACCTCCTCC